CCCGAGCCCGCCAGCCCCACCATTGGCCTGGACAAGAAGACTCGCCGAAAGTTCCTGGACCTGGGGTAAGGGGAGGAGGGGCCAGAACGCAGGGCCTGGAGCTGTTGGGGTGAGGGGGTGTCACAGGGACAACCCTGCCCCACTCCCCCCTGCCCTCCCCACAGGGTCACCTTACGCCGAGCGTCCACTAGCAAGAGGAAGGAGAAGGGAAGCAACCGCCTGTCCATGGGCAGCAGGTAAGAGGAGCCCACAGCGCCCTCTGCAGCTCCCGTGGCCAGCCCTCCACTCGACGCCCACACCCACGCGGGCCGCTGTCTCTGCAGGGAGTCGGTGGAGGGATCCGGCAGGTCAGGAGGCTCTCCGTTCCTGCCCTTCTCCTGGTTCACAGACAGTGGCAAGGGCTCTGCGTCCTCCGGCAGCACCACGTCCCCCGCCTGCTCCCCCAAGCACGAGGGCTTCAGCCCCAAGAAGTCGGCTTCCCAGGTAAGGCCGTGACTTCCTTGTCCTCCCACGGCCCCCGGACTCAGATGACACGAGGCCGTCCGTCACATTTGGCTTGGGCTGGCCTTCAGGCACTCCGGGAGTCCATTTGTCAGGCATGGCGCCATCCGTGGGCCCTGACTGTGTGTGTCCTCTGCGTTCGTTCATTCACTCGTTCGCGTCTTGAGTTCGCTCGTTGATTCATTCACTGTGTCAGCCATGCCACGGCAGTACCGAACGCCGTGCTTCCCCTGCTGTTCTCCAGCTGCGGCTTCCCCCATTCCTGCCGCTGTTAGCCCTGCCCAGTGCAGCCCCCCTCCTGAGTTAGGAGCGGGACCACTTGCTTAGTCAGGTGGGGCCGGGGGCACAGAGGTGAACAGGCCCCCAACCTCACGCTCTGAAAACACACAGCCTCATGAGAGGAGTGAGACCAAGGAGCAGAAGCAGCGATGAGCACCCGTGCACGTTCAGACAGCCCTCCGCAGTCTACAGAGGGCTCAGGGAAGTGGGGGCGGGGCAGCTGGCACACTCATCCCCGTTGTACAGATGAGCAAATGAAGGCCCGGAGAGAAGGGACTGGCCCGCGGACACACACAGATTAGTTGCAAAGCTCTGTGACTCCAGTCCAATGCTGGTTTTGTGGTTCTGTTCTTTTTTGTCTTTTTCTAAGTATTATTATGACTTTTTTGAGATGCGGTCTCACTGTGTTGACCGGGCTGGTCTCCAGTGATCCTCCTGCCTTGGCCTCCCAGAGTGCTGGGATTACAGGCGTGAGCCACCACATCCAGCTTTGGTTGTGTTCCTTATGTGCAGCTGGGGCAGAAGAAAATCAGAAAGCGAGGAATTCAGAGAAGAGCGAGTCCCTTCTGACCTGGGACTTCCTTCCTGCCTCCCACCCTGCACACCCTGCCTCCATACCTCCCTTTCTTCCCTCCCTCGTGCTGGGCCCTGAGGATACCGTGGTGAACAAGATAGCCCAGGCCTTCATAGAATTTATGAGTTCTATGGTCCAGCGAGGATAAAGACCTCTACTCAGGCACTTGTGAGCTGGGTGCCAGGGACCAGGTGGGAGGCACCTAGCAGGGACACCTGACCCAGCTTGGGGGAGTCCTAGTAGACTACCTGTAGGAAGCCACATGTAGCCCGAGGCCTCCTCCACTTCCACTAACTCCTCTGCCTGGCTTAGTTCCAGCCCCATGTCCTCCAGATGGCTGCCTGCCCTCCCGGAGAGTCAAGGCTAGAGTCCCTGTGTCCTGTGTGCCCACGCAGCCCCCGGCTCGTGCACAGGCGGCATTGAGCAGTTCCTGGTGCCTAGTCCAGGGCTTCATGGGGATGGGGATGCTGGGCTGGGGGGGGTCTCTCCTCAGTGGCATGCATCCCTTCCCGTCTAGGAATCCACCCTGAGTGACGACTCCACGCCCCCCAGCTGCAGTCCCAAGATCCCGAGCGGGCCCCGGCAGGAGACGAAATGTTCCTACCCTTACCACACACTGTCCCAATCTTCGGATGAGGTGAGCCAGCTGGCCCACGGGCTGGGCTGAGGTGTGCAGACCCTGGGCCAGGCCTCACCTCTCCCGCCCTGGTCTTTATTCACCCAGTTCCTCGATGACCCGCTCCCCACCGTCCAGCACTGGACCAGCCAGCAGGTGGGCCAGTGGCTGCACAGCCTCAACCTGGAGCAGTACGCTGCTGAATTTGCGGCCCGGCAGGTGGATGGCCCGCAGCTCCTGCAGCTGGATGGAAGCAAACTGAAGGTGGGTCTGCACGGGAGGGCCGCGGCTCTGCAACCGTTGAGGCTTGGGAGCCCTCATCCCGACCTTTCACCCTCAGCCCGGCCTCCAGGCTGACTCTTTCACTCCATCTGTGGCCGCTGCCCTGACGCCTGACCTCTGACTTCTAGGCAAGGTCCTCGGTCTAACCTTTGTGTTGCAGCATGTGCTTGGGGGAAGGGATGGTGAGGACAGTCCCCCAGGAAGTCTCTGGAAGCGAGAAGGGGCCTCGGCCACTGACTAGTTGTGTGACCCTGGGCAAGTCACTCCCCATCTCTGGTCTCAGGGTCATGCGAAGACGGGAACCCTGAGTGGAGGAAAGGGAGCCAAGCACCGGGGCAGGGGACAAGAGGCCAGCTGCCCTCAACCCTGGTCTGCGCCAAGCACGCCCGCTGCACATTCTCGCCCTGAGGATTCCCACCCAGGGTGGCAGCTACAAGATCCTGAGTGGGCCCTGGCGGGAGGCCAAGTGTTCCCGCCCCTACCACATGCTGTCCCAGCGTGGGAGTGTCCACGGCAGGGGATGCTCACAGAGCTCCCCAGAGAGCACACCTGGGCCAAAGCACGTGTGGGCAGGGGCTGGCGGACCGGAGGGTCCTGAAACACTCTTCCTCACTGGGGTTCCTCCCCAGAGCCTGGGGCTCAGCAACTCGCATGACCGGGCGCTGGTGAAGCGGAAGTTGAAGGAGCTGGCGGCGGCTGCCGAGAAGGAGCGCAAGGCCCAGGAGAAGGCCGCACGGCAGCGGGAGAAGCTCCTGCGTCGGGAGCAGGAGGCCAAGAAGAGCTAGAGCGGGAGGTGCTGAGCTGGCAGCGCCGGGCATGGGCCGCAGCAGGAGGCTGGGCCTGGGCACCACGCTTGGGCTGGCCTGGCCCCACACTCTTGGGGAGACACGCCCTCTCTCACCCTGTCCTTGTCGAGACCCAGGGACCCTGGAGAGGGAGACCCCCGGGGAGAGGGCCTAGTAATAAATCCTGTTCCGAGGACTTGTTTGGCACAGCGTTCCTGGGGGAGGTGGCAGATGAGGGGCAGAGGGCAGAGAGGCCAGGGCTGGAGCAAGTCTGAGAGCCCAGAAGGGCTGGGTCAGGCTGACCCTCTGCCCTCAGGCCCAGGCTGGGCTGGGTGGAAGTGAGCTAGGATGCCTGCCTGCCACAGGCCAGCGAGGGCGGCCGGCGTCCCAGGGCTCAGAGAGCAGCTCGGCAGGAGTAGGTGTGAGCACTGTCCCTCTCCATTCTCCGAGGTGGCTGTGTGGTGGGAGCTCTGTCCTGCTTCCCAGGGAGGCCGGTGGGCAAGTCACACTCAGGGTAGACTCCTCAACGGGAGGAGAGCAGAGAAAGCAGCACGGGGCAAGCACAGTCTTTGTAAGAACTTAGGAGAAGGAAGGGAGGACGAACAGCTCCCCCCCCCCCCCCCGCCCGTCCTGTGGGGCCCAGTGGGTGGCATGACGTCCACCCAGGCCTGCCCCAAAGGGGCCCATTTAGGGCCTGGTCTTTGACCCGCTTTCAGCCAGGACCGATTCTCCTGCTGCTCCCTCAGAGGGCACCTGAGTCCTCTCTGGGGGCAGAGCAGACCTGGGATACTCCCACGAGGCCTAGGTGATACATAGGCTAGCCAGGCAGAGGGGCAAAATCTGGGGTTCTCTGGAAGCTGCTGGACTGGCAGGACTCATCAGCCCTCCCTCACCTGCCCTGGCCATCGTCGGGGCCCCCTTGGGCTCCAGAACTGGCAGGCTGGGCAGGCTCAAGTTTTCTGAGCTGCAACGAGGGCCAGGGTCAGATCCCCAACCAGGGGGAGTCTATCAACCTGTGGGTGGCATCTGTCCTTTTTAGGGAACGTCTAGGGAGGTGGTTTCTGGTGTGGTGCTGGCCAGCAGCCAGTGCAGCTTCTGGGTCACTGAACAGAGTTACCTGTGGGGCTGGGGGCTTTTGAGTAGAATCTCCCCCCCACCTCCCACTATCTGCCTGGAGCAGTGGACAGGACCCAGTGCATGTGACTTCCCCTCATTCCTGACCAGGGGCTGTGGCTTATGGCCAGGGCCCTGTCCCTGGGTGGGACCCAACCCTTCTGCCCCTCGGCCATCTGTGCTGGGAGAGGGGCTTCCAAGGGAAACTGAGGTACAGGGTCGCCGGCACCATCTGGGCCTGGTGGAGGGACCAGTGGGAGATTGGAAGGCACCCACGCCCGTTAAGCTGTTGGGAGCTAGAGTGGGTGTCCAGCTGCATGTGAAGGGGGGAGGCAGTTCTCAATTTATTTCAATAAACACTTATGATGTGCCAGTGACCAGAATTGCTGTCTGCTCCAGCTGGGGGCTCGGACTGGGTCACAGGACTGTGCTGGGGCCTGAGTGTGGTGGAACAACAGGTTTGTCACGGGGCACTGGGCTGTCAGACATTCTGAATAAATAGCTTTGCCTAGTGTTTTACTCACAGTCCCAAGCTGGGCTGATGTCCCAAGCACAGCACGTGTTGGTCACAGGGTACCGTGAGTCTGTGTGTGAGTGCATGTGTGGGTCTCCCTCTCCCAGAAAAGCAGCCAGGCCACAGTCTCATTCAATCTCCTCTTTACTGTGGGTGTCACCCTCACCGTCACAGCTACTGGGAGGGCACACAGCTTTAACCCCTTGTGTGCCAAGGGGCTGGTTGGGGGGCATTCAGGGTTATAAAACTAGCTATATACATAGAGTGTCTGAGGGAGAAAGCCACCCTGAGCACACGTATCTGGGCAGTGGGGGCTGGGTCTGGAGCTCAGGCAGGACTGAGAGGGCGTGTGGAGGGCAGGTGGGTGTGTGCATGTGAGGACATGCTGGGGAAAGGCTAAGAGATGGCACAACCGTCACCAAGGCCTCGAGCAGCTTGGCTGGGCGGGAGACCTCTGGGTCTTCCCAGGTTTAGGGGTGAGCCCTAGCTACGACCTTCTGCCTCCCCTGCCAACCTGGACCTGGAAGTCCAGAGTGGAGGGAGAGGCTGCAGGCCTCCGACAGGGGTCAAGGGGATACCACCTTTCTCTACTCACGCCCCAGATTGGCAGGCCACCGGCCCCTTCCTAGCAGTGCCAGCATACCAGAGCCAGGGTGCCTGTGTGGGCTGGGGACTAAGGCAAGCGGGGGCATCCACTGGGAAGGCCAGGGCTGTAGAAGGTGCTAGGGGGACTCAGGACCCTGGCAGCAAAGGGTCAGCCCTGGTCTCAGAGAGGTGGGCCATGGGAAAATGTTTCCGGGACACCCCATCAGGGTGGAGATATCCCCAACCCACAGGCATCGCCCACAGAGACTGGACACCAGCGAGACTGCCGAGGGGGTCTCCACAGAGACAGATTGGCACTTAGGGACCACCACAGACCAGTCACTGTGGTGATTTCCATAGAGATGGGACCTGGTCATCAGGGAGCACCCACCCTCCACCCCCTCTTGGAGATGGGGAGGGTCACCGTGGTGGCCGGACCCGGAGACAGCAGTCCATCTGCTCGGTGGCCCCTAGCTGACACGGTACGTGGATGTGTTCTTGGGTTCCGTGCTGGGCACGCACCAGTCGCCGGCCTCCTGGATGGTCTGGTAGTGGCGCCATGCTGACTTGTTGTAGACGGGCAGGCGCTCCACCGAGTCCGTGGACAGGGCCTGAGGAGCTGTGGGTCAGCCTCTCCCCCTTCCCTGCACCCAACCCACTCCTCAGCAGGCCACCCCACCCTGGGGCGGGCTGCGTGCCAGCCCACATACCCCACCCCAGGTCAGTCAGCCCAGCCACCAGACACTGGCTGAGACCATTACCCCAGCCTGGAAAGACCTACAAAAGGGCAGTCCCTTCTGTGTCCCGCTCCTGCCTGTTCAAGAAAGTTGCTCCCTTGAAGGGTCAGGGAGGGATGGGAGGAGGCAAGGCTGTGTGACCCTGAACGAGGTCACCAACTCTGGGAGTCTATCTTCCCCTCTGAGCTGAATGACAAGACTAAGGGTCCCCCTCTCTTCCTTCCGGGCCTGACAAGTCCAGGGCCTCCAGAAAGGGGCCGTTCACTGTGACTCCCTGAAATTCCCTGCCACGCTGTGTGTGTCTGGAGTCGGGGCTATTCAGGTTGAGGACCCGTGGCTCTGCTGCCTCTGAGCCTGGAGCCAGGAAAGGACTGGCGGGGTGGGCAGGCCAACAGAGGGCGACCCTGGCCGGGCCCCTCAGCTGTCCTGCAGGGCTCTGCAGGCCAGGCCTCACCTTGAGATAGATGACCGCATCGGTCCCGAAGCCCTCCATGGAGAAGAGTTGCAGGTCTCCCTGGAAGTACTTGGCGTAGAGGCGGGAAATGGGGAGCCCATAGCCAAAGCCAGCCTGAAGCGGGCAGGAAGGCACCAATGGGGAGGAGGCCGGCAGGGACTGATGTGTGAGGGGCGGGTGTGGAGCAGGGGCTGTGCAGGGGGTCTCCGAGCTGGGGTGGGGAGAGAGACCCTGGGGCAAGAAGTGGGGGGTGGGGGAACAGAGGAGTCACGTGGGGAGAGAAGGCTGGAGGCGGGAGGAGCCTGGGGTTGGGCAGGTTCTGGGCTCCTCTGAGGCTCAAGTTCGGGATGTGCTGGTAGGTTGAACAATGCCAAGAGAAAGGTAGTAATTGGGGTGGGGGAGGAGAGGGGAGCAGAAGGATAGACGAGGGGGACAGAGAGACACCGCCAGGGAGACATGGAATGGGCTCAGACTTGGGGAGGCGCCCAGCACCATACAAGCCACACGGGAGTGAAATGCACGGAGATGAGGAAGCGAGACGGACAGAGAGATCTTCAGGAGGTGGGAGGGGGACTGGAGTGAGGCCAGCTCACCAGTGGGGTCCCTCCGGTGCCAGGCTGAGGGGTGGGTGCTGTGGAGTACATGTAGCTGAAGAGTCGCTCGATCTTCCTCAAGGGGACACCCCCACCTCGGTCGCTCATCTGGGGCAGATGGGACGTGTTGGGGACTTGCGAGCTCGGTTTCCCATCCCCTCACACCCCTGACCTTCTCGTGGTCTTCCCCACCCCCAGAACATACTCACCACGTGGGAGAAAAAGAAAGCCCACCTCCCAGCAGGAGGAAGGTCCCCACCCCACTGGTCCCTGGTCCTCAAGGTCAAGGGTCACATACTTTGATGGACAGATCTTCCTCGCCCAAGGCCACCATGACCTTGATGGGCGGGAGAACGAGACTGGATTCATGGCTTTCCACGGTGGCCCGCATGGCATTCTGCAGAAGGGAAGAGGTCAGAGACGTGTGGGAGAAGCCAGCCCTGACCACATGCCCCGCGGAGGACCAGCCCAGCCTCCTCACCTTGAAGAGCTCAAAAAGCATGTGGTAGAGGTGCGAGGGGACGTAGACCATGTGGATCGGCTGCTGGGAGTTGGCTGCTGCAAGGAAGGTCAAGGCCAAGGAAATTGTCAAGCGGTCATTACTTAACCACCTTACCCAAAGTGGGAGCCTTGTGGCCGTTTTCCCTTCTTCATTTAGGGACAGACCTCCCTCCCCCAATGATGTAACCCAGCACACAGCTGTCCAGCCAGGAACTCAAGCCTCCTTTGAGCTGGGGTAGCCGGGCGACTGATGGAAGCAATGTGTTCAACTCCTGGGCCTCACTTACATTCCTGCTCGCCTCCTCCAGGCTGAAACTGAGATAAGGGGTGGGCAGCAGCTCTGACCACCTCACCCAGGGGCTGGCAAGAGGGAAACTGTATGCTCTTTCTCTCTCTCTTTCCCTCGCTCCGTCTCTGTCTGTATCTCTGTGTGTCTCTGTCTCTCTCTGAGTCAGGGTCTCACTCTGTTGCCCAGGCTGGAGGGCAGTGGCATGATCACAGCTCACCTCAGACTCTACCTCCCGGGCTCAGGTGATCCTTTCACTTCAGCCCTCTGAATAGGTGGGACTACAGATGCGTGCTACCACATCTGCCTAGTTTTTAAATTTTTTGTAGAGATGAGGTCTCACCATGTTGCCCAGGCTGGTCTCTAACTCCTGGCCTCAAGCGATCCTCCCACCTCAGCCTCCCAAAGTGTTGGGATTATTGGTGTGAGCCACTGCACCTGGCCTGGAAACCTCTCTTAAGTAAGCCATCATGTTGGCATTTTGGAAGGCAGCAAAGCTGACACGCCACTCCTCCTTATCCTTTTGAGTCACCATATTTTATTTCCTTTCTGTCATCATGATCTGAAATGATCCTCCTTATTTATTCATTCATTGGTTAAAGGCTGCATTCTGCCAACCTCCCCAATACCAAGAATATAAACTCCATGAGAACAGGGACCTCACCTGTCTTGTTTTCTGTTTAATAAATGTTTATCAAATGAATTAATAATAATACAATAACAGCTCTGCTTCTCCCACCTAGAAAAGTCCATTTCCTGACCCTCATCTCACCTTGCTCTCTCCTGTCCCCAACCCTGAGACCCCCCCACCCCCACCCCACACACGGCCTCACTCACCATTGATCTCCTGGATTTCCAGGTCAGGTGATGCCATGTAATACTTGTCACACAGGAGCTTGGCCATGTCGTAGGCATCTGAGAGAAGACAGTGTAGTTTAGGGCAGTTTAGGGCATGGGCAGCCTACCCTGCAGGCAGTCCCCTTGACAGGACACTGGGCATCACCAACACAAAACCCATGGGGATGTGGTCCCCACCCACTGGGGGATGGGCCGCCTTCTGGCCAGGTAAGCTTGGCGGGGTCCCCAGGGCTTCCCCGTGGGTAGGCTCACCTTTGACCACCTCAGAGACGTTGCAGTTGGGGTCGATGCTGCCAATGTGCTTGGGGTGGGCTGGGTTGGTGCTGCCATCAAAGATCAGAGCTGCGGGAGGAAGCAAGGCACTGCCAAGGGGCTGGAGCCAGGCGCTCCACCTCCACCCTGAGGCGCTCGACCTCCACCTGTAATGCCCCCGCTGCTCCAGTCTTAAAACCGCACTCTCCCCTGCCGCCCTCTCTTCTCTGACCCCACTGGCCTACCACACCTGGCTTGGGCTTTGGGCCTGTGCAGGCTGAGTCGTTTTTCTTTTCTAAGGCCTCTTCCCACCTTACATTTATTCTTTTCTTTTCGCTATAATGTTATGAGATCACTCTTACCATCTAGCTTCTGAAATTACTTGAACATGAGGAACTTGTTTAATTTATGATTGGCTACGATTTCTCAAGTCATAGTAAGTTCTCCTAGAATAAGAAACTCTCAAAAAACAAATGGTTTCTTAATGTAATGAGAGTTTTTACTAATATTAAACATGATTTAAAGACGTGACATCATTCTGTGTTTGGCAAACATTGAAAACAATACATTTTGATGCTGCCATTTTCTTTTCCACCTTGGCACCAGTCACTCCCTTTTGCGGGTCTTGAAGAGTGGCCCAGGCCCCTGCGGCTGACAACCCCCTCTGCCCGCCCCCATCCCGCCCCCGAGGCGGGCACCCACTGTGCTGGTTGATGAGCATGCGGATGGAGATTCGGCTAAGATAGAAGCGGTCCAGGAAGTACTGGACGTTCTGGTTGGAGACGGGGTCATCGCCGTAGGTGTCCTTGTATTCCAGCACACCCTGCGCCATGGTGGGCACCACGTCATTGTGCCGATTCCGGATGGTGACCAGGGCATCGGTGAACCTATGGACAGGGCAGATGTTCACCCATTCCCAGGCCCGGGACAGCCCCGGACCCTCCTCCTCTTCTGACCTGTTCTCCATGTGTCTTCATTCACCCCGCCCTTTCCAACCTGACGGACACACGACGCCCTCCCGCTCCTCCCAGAGTCCACCCTGAGTCTCCCGGCTGCCTGCCCGACAGCTCCCTGCTCAAAAGCCTTCAGTCTTCATCCTGGGCCTAGCCTGGCTCTCGTCCATCAGACTCAGGGCCCTCTGGGCACGGAGTCTGTGCCCCTCTGATCAGACCTGGGACTTCCTGAAGCAGAGTCTGTCTCCCCCCTCAGACCGATGTCCCTGAAGGTGGACTCTTTTCTTCCATCCTGCTGCACTTCCGCCCCTAGGGCTGTGACCCCAGGTGCCTGTCACCTTCCGTCCCCATCCAGGGACCCCACTCACTGATTCAGGGTACGATGGTCCTCAGGGTCCTTATCCAGAAATTCCATGATGTCCAGGAGGCTCTGGACATACCTGTGGGGGTGGGGAGGAGGGAGCACAGCCTCGACTTGGGTCCAGGCCAGGCCCCCCGCCCCCCCTTGGCTGGGCCTCACTCTCGCCGGCTCCTGCGTGGGCACCGCACAGGGCTGTACCTGCTGACAAGCCTCATCACTATTTTTCTCTATCCATTTCATTTGTACGTGAGTCTCCCTGACAACCCAGTCAGTTATGCAAGAAAACCTCGAATTTCTTGGTCCCCCTTATAGCGCCTTTGCTTTGGAATCCTAGAATAGTCATCTTGGGAGGGGCTTGGAGATCATCCCACCCAAGAGGCCTCCCAGATCAGGAGACGGAGGCTGAGGCTGGGGGTAGGGAGACTTGACCAAGCGCCTGCAGAGGGAGAAGGTGGGAGATGCCTCAGCCTCCCAAGCTTCACAGAAACAGCTCCTGAAATTCCTCCCACAGGGCTGTTGTTGCATCCAAGGGGCCAGCACAGGCTTCTCCTGGAGTGACCCCTGAGCTTGGATGGCCTGGGCCAGGCACCTGCCTAGGCAACAGGGCTTCGAAGAGGAGGGTGGAAGCACCCGGGGGTAGGTGGGCCTGCCCAGCTCAGTCTCCAGGTGGCGCTGGGGCCCCTGGAGAGCCCAGAGAGGCTCACACCGCTCTGAAGGCTCAGCAGGAGTGGGCAGCCCCCTTATCTGCAGGTCTGGGGGGAGGCTGGTTTCCCCAGGACTTCCCCAATAAATTAAAAAGAACACTGGGGAGCCTCGAATGCAGGGCCAGCAGGAGGCCAGCTTCTGCAAGGAAGTCAGGCTCACCTGTGATGGCAGATGGTGCCAACCTGAAGTCACTGTCCCCGTCCCTCTGGAGTCATGACCCCAGGTTCCCTCTAATCCGCCCGGCCTGGGGCTTGTTCTCCTGCAGAAGGCAGAAAGAGCTGAGCTTCTGTCTGGCAAACACACTTCCAGCCAGGAGGAAGGAAGGGCTGCCTAGAGCAGTAGTGGGGGCACAACGTGTCTCTAGAAAAAGCCCCACCACAGTAGGAATCATTCCCAGGTTCACAGTGCTCTGACCTTCATTGTACTCCCTAACAGGTGTGAAAGGCAGAGTCAGCTGCAGGGCTGCAGGTTCAGGGCAAAAATGAAGACTGAGTCTCCAGTGCTCCTGACATCCTACGGGTCTTGGGTCTCACCTCCACGCCTGTGTCCACACAGTGCCCTCTGTAGGAATGCCCGCCTCTGAAACCCTGCGCCTGACAGTACAGAAAAGGGTGGAAGAACTAGCCCTGGAGCTGGCTCTGCAAGAGTCCCAGACCTGGCTCTTCCTCTTGGAGCTGTGTGGCTCTAGGTCAAACTGTAGAACCTCTCTGGGCCTGAGTTCTCTCACTGGGAAATGGGGAGTTGTACACCTACTTATCACTGCTTTTTGGTGAAGATTAAATGTGATCATTAGCACAGTGCCTAGCATATAGTAAGTGCTCTGTCAGTGTTTGCTCTTAGGACTGGTGGCTCAGAAATTGCCAACAGCCAGGTGTGGCAGCACGTGCCTCTAATCCCAGCTACTAAGGAGGCTGAGGCAGGAGAATGGCTTGCACCCAGGAGTTCGAGGCTGCAGTGAGCCATGATGGCACCACTGTACCCCAGCCTGGGTGACACATGGAGAGTCTATAATCCCAGCACTTTGGGAGGCGGAGGCAAGAGGACTGCCTGAACTTAGGGGTTGGAGACCAGCCTGAGCAATATGGCGAGACCTCATCTCTACAATAAACCAAAAAAATTAGCCGGGCATGGTGGCGCATGCCTGTGGTTCCAGCAATTTGGAAGGCTGAGGCAGAAGGGTCATTGAGCCTAGCAGGTTGAGGCTGTGGTGGCCGTGAGCTTGCCACTGCTCTCTAGCCTGGGTGACTGAAAGGGAGACCCTGATTTAAAAAAAAAAGGAATTGTCAATACCGGGTGCCTCCTCTGAGCCCCCAGGCAGTACTTGACACCCTTCTACTGCTTGAGGGCTCTGAATTATACCACTGAGTCCTGGGGGGCTTTGCCCTGGGAGTTGCCCTCTTGCTGCAGGCCTAGGGCTGGCTTAGCCGGGAGCTCCCTCCCTTCCCTCCCCACCCAGGGTCTAGCACAGAGTCAGACAGAAGGATTAGTGGCTGCTGCTGGGAGTGGAGAGGGGGAGGTGGGACCCAGACAGAAGAAAAGATCAGCATCCTCCCAGAGACCCTACCCCCCCACCCTGCCACCTCAGCAGTCAATCAGAGTAGCATTTCTAAGACCTAGCCTCAGACTCCTGGTGTATAACAATAGCTGACACGGACACGGAGTCCCACATGAAGTCTTTCGTCTTCCAACACAAGAGGCTTGATGAGCAAAAGGCATTTCTCTCCTTGTCCAGACAAGGAAACTGCCCCAGAGGACAGGTAGTATGTCCCAAGCCACAGCGAAGGATGGTGATGGCTGGGGTTCAAACCCAGGTCTGTCGGACTCTTAGTCCACACCATGTGGCCGACTGCTCACCATCTATACTGGCCCTGACAGTGGTGCTGCTGACAGCAATGGCAGCGCTTTCTGGGCACCAACTGCCAGCCCACCCTGTGCGTACCTGCTCCCCAACTTCAGCCTCCACAATCGCCCGGTGAGGTGGCTACTACTGCTGGACCCATTTTACAGATGGGGAAGTTAACATGCAGAGTTGGATTTCTTCCTCCCAGGCCTGTGTGTCTCCAAATCCCTTGTTCCCTAAGTGTGCCCAGGAGAGAGTTTCCCACTCACAGGATTCTTACAGCGAGAAGGGATTTGGAGGGAAAGCCTGTAGGTGTGCACCACTAGGGGCAGGAAAGAGAGGAGACCAGCTGCAGAGTGCGGCGTTGGCACCCCTTCCCTTGACTTGGGGGGCAAACAGGGAAGTAGGGGTTGCAGTTAGGAGGCTGCGTCACTCCCTGACTTTGCTGGGCTGGTGGTGGGTGGGGGTGGGCAGGGTCAGAGTCCCAGCTGCCGGCCCCGCCCCCTTTGTGGCTGCTCGAGGAACCCTACAGGGCAGAAAAGGGGCCGGTCACGTGGCCGCTGAAGTGGAGCAAAGGGCACCAGGAAGGAGTGACAATGGGCAGTGCCAGCCGCAGGCTGTTTCCTGGTGAAGCAGGGTTTGGAATCCCTGCCTGCCTGACTCCCTCACAGGGCTTCGGGGCAGAGGGCCGGGCTGCTCTCGGAATGGAAGGAGAGGACCAGAAGGATCTTTCCAGGGGTCTGGGCCCTGCCCTGAAACCCCCAGGGGCTTGGCGTACTAAGATGCCATCCTAGCTGGCTCGGTAGCTCAGCCTATAATCCCGCGCCTTTGGGAGGCTGAGGTGAGTGGATTGCCTGAGCCCGCGGGTTCGAGACCTGCCTGGGCAGCAAGACCTCATCTCTACAATCAATCAAAAAATCAGCCGGGCGTGGTAGCGCGTGCCTGTAGTTCCAGTTACGTGGAAGGCTGAGGCGGAAGGATCGCCGGAGCCCAACAGGTCGAGGCTGCGGTGGCCGGGAGCGGCCACTGCACTCCAGTCTGGGCGAAAGAGTGAGACTCCAACTCAAAAAAAGAAAAAAAAGATGCTGTCCTTGGGCCAGGTCTGGGTCCCAAAGGGAGACACTGGGATGGGGACAGAGCTGTGCTGGCTCCTGGACTGCCCCCCACCCACGTGGGGCCAGAGAGAGAACTGGGCTTAGGTGCAGGTCTGAAAGCAGTGGTGAGTGAAAGGCACTTCCAGGTGGAGCAGGCAGTGACCCTACCATGACCAGGGGAAGGCAGAGGTCTCTGGGTCTGCTGACTTCCGACCTCTGCAGTAAACAGGACTGCCAGGACTCCTTTGTGAGATCTGGAGTGGCCCAACCCCGTCCGAGGTCATGGAGCCAGTCTGGAGCCCCGGATTTTGAGGGGGTGGGGGCACGGGGGGAGGGTTGAATGCAGACTGAGCTGGTAGGGGTGTGGTGATGGGGCTGGGAGGAGGGGGAGGCTGAGGGAGGGGAGGCAGGCCCTGCCAGCCTGTGTGGGAGCAGAGGGAGCCTGAGCCCGTGGCCAGGTGTGTAAGTCTGGCTGTGACGTGTGCATGCCTGTGGGTGTGTCCGAGGGTGTGCATCACGTACTAGTGTCCACAGCTGCTGGGGATGAGGGTGTGAACAAGGCGATGGGTGTGTGAGGAGGGCGACTCACTGCACTGAGGGGACAGGTGGTTGCATCCTGCACCTGGAGCCCCCGAGCCAGGCAGGTCTGGGGTCGGCTGCTGGCTGTGCCTTAAAGAGGCCACCAAGCCCCTCAGGTTCCCATCTGCAAAATGGGGTTCACAGCACTAAGCACCTTGTGGGATGGGGTGTGGATGAAACGCAAGGGTTCAGTGGGTCTGCGCCCAGGAGAGGGATCCCGGCTCAGGTCCCGCCAGGCACAGCTGAGGGGTCTGATGCATGATCTGGCTGAAGCCCGGCTGGCACGGGCAAGTCCTGGGCCCAGAGCCACTCCCTCTGCAGCTGTGATTCTTCCCAAGGGCAAGGCCTGGCTCCCCCAGGTGGGGGTGGGACGCCCAACAGGCAGGGCTTGGGGGCCACATACCTTGCCAGGGAAGGTGCTGGCCATCTTACCTCCCACCCACAACGCCCACCAAGACTGCGAGTGACAGCAGTGACTGACTGTCATTTGATTCCACTCTGCAGCTCTTAATCCTGTGTCTTCTGGAAGCACGTCCACACCTGCAGCCCAACAACACTGGGCTGTTCAACCGTTTCTGTAAAGCGAGGCCTACTCTCCCACAGACTTGCCCACGAACTTGGAAATCTCTGACTCCACATCAATACCCCATGGCACAGCCTTCCTCCTTTCCCTTCAAGATCCCATGGCTTGAGTTCGAATTTCGGCTCTACCACCTGCTCGACCACTGGCTCCGCCACCGGCTCCACCACCAGCTCCCCGAGTGACCTCAGACAATTTTCTTCACCTCTCGGAATCTCAGTTTCTCATCTAGGAAGCAGGGTTGCTTTATAAGGTTGTTGTGAAGATCAAATGAGTTAATACAGGCAGATGCTGAGACCAATTCCTGGGACACAGCAAGCCCTCGGGTATGTTTGCTTCTGTTATCACCATTCTTTATGACTGAGAAGCCTTGCCATCATGACTTCAGTTTGGGCTGGAGGAGCTGCTGTCCAGAAGCTTGGGGACATGGCTTGTGTCCCTGGAGTTCCCCACATTTTTCACTCTGGCAGTGGCCCGTGACCCTTACACACAGAATGGATACCCATGTTACAGATGAGGAAGCTGAGGCTCTGTGGGCTTGCCAAGGAGGAAATGTCAAGCAAGCCTCAAAGTCAAGTGCGCTGACACCCAGCTTGGGGCTTTCCCCACTGTCTGGTTGCCTCCAAAACAGGGACCACTGTCCCACGTCTGTTCCGCGGAAATCATTCATCGGACTAACTTAGAAGCAGGAATTCCCAGCATGCCCACAGTGACTCTGCCTAGAACCTCTGCCCGGCCTAGAAGCCCCATGAGCCTTGCCACACGTTAACTGTTCCCATGAACACCTGCACTCCCACGGGGCACTTGTGTTTCCCAAAGGGGAGGTCTTTGCCCCTTACTCATCAGCCTCAGGACGATGGTTCTCCTGCCAGGCTCCCTGTAAGATGTCCCTCCTCTCCTGCTCACCCTGGCCACCTCCACCACCCCCATCATCCCATGGCATAGAGTTTCTCCTGGAGAAGGTGATCTCCACCCTCTCACAGACAGCCACCTCATCCCTGTCAGGAAGTCCTTCCTGCCCTCACACCTCAATCTCTCTTGCTGCAGCCGATGCCCATTCTCTTTGGGCAAGTTCTCAGCAGGCTGCCTCTTCAGTGCATGGGGATGCTTTAGCAGTCCTTTGGTCTGCTCTCCCCTAAGCTGAAAGAACACTGGGGAAGTGTTCTCTCTTGTTTAACTTCACTCCCTCCTGCTGTTACTTGACATTACTTCCAAGCTTTGAGGGAAGAATAAGTCGGGCCAGGCCTCCCATGTGCCACTGATTTTCAGGAAGGGACTCGGCGGGGGCCCACGGGAGTCATGGGCAGTTCAGCGGCCCCCGCCCTCCTCCTGCTCTCCCAGAAACACAGTGTCCAGGGAGGGGCCTGACGTCAGGGACCAGCTGGAGAGGCAGCCAGGGCAGTCAGCCGGACAGAGCCGGAGGAGGGCTGGGGGACAGATGGCACCTTCTGTCTCCACCCCACACTCCACATCACTCCGCCGCAGGAAGTGTTGGTTGGTGTGGAGGTCCCAGACCTCGGAGGGTCAGCGCACAGCAAGGGGTGACCTGGTTAGGCGACGTGAAAATCAGCTGCACGCTGCACCCTCCGCCCACCTTTGCTGTTGGCCCAGAATGCACAACCTCTACCGAGTGAGCTTCCGGTCACTCCAACCAAGCCTCTCCAGCCTCCACACCTTTTCTTTTAGCCTGGAATGCCCTTCCTAGTTCTAGGCTTGCCTAGGTACCCTGCCCCAGCCTAGTGACAAGTTGCCTCCTCTGTGTGTCCACTGCAATTTTCCCACTTCTTCTAATTCAACTGACACTCATTGTGCAGCTACTGTATACCTGGTCTCTTGTGTACAACACTGACCCCTACCAAATCTTTCTTTTGGTTTTTTTTTTTTTGAGTTGGAGCCTACTCTGTCACCCAGGCTGGAGTGCAGTGGTATGCTCACGGTCACCGCAGCCTTGACCTACTGGGCTCAGGTGATCCTTTCTGCCACAGCCTTTCAAGTAGCCGGAACTATAGGCACGTGCTAGCATACCTGGCTAATTTTTTACTTATTGTAGAGACGAAGTCTCGCCAAGTTGCCCAGGCTGGTCTTGAACCCGCAGGCTCAGGCAATCCACTCGCCTCGGGCCTCCCGAGCTCAGCCCATATTTCATTTAATTACAATAAATCACGTATACGCACATCCATGCATAGACGAAATGCTGGAAGGCCACATCTTATGACACTTTTTTTTTTTTTAGTCAGGGTCTCACTCTGTCGCCTGGGCTGGAGTACAGTGGCATGATCACAGCTCATCACAGCCTTGACCTTCTTGGTTCAGATGATCCTTCTGCCTTAGCCTCCCAAATAGCTGGGACTACAGGTGTGCACCACCACACCTGGCTAATTTTTTTGTAGAGATGAGGTCTCGTTTTGTTGTCTAGGCTGGCAAACTCCTGGCCTCAAGCAGTCCTCCCACCTTGGCCTCCCAAAGTGCTGGGATTATAGGCGTGAATCACCATGACTGGCCCTTATGAAAACATAACAGTGCTGACTTATGGGGTGAGGGGAAGTGGCTGGCATTTGCCATCTACTCTTTTGTGTTTTCCAAGAGTCAAAGTGAACCTGTTATACTTCTGCCATGAGGGGAAAAGAAAAAAAAAACCACTCCAGCCCATGTTCCTTTTAGATCTCGTTTTGATTTCTAATTTCAGTAGAATGAACTCTTCAGCAACTCACTGGTCCCTGCCACTACCTTGGCTGCCCTTGGCTCTCCTGGCCTGGGTGAGGAGCTTCATTCTCCCCTGGAGCTCACGGGCTCCCTGAGGGCAGTGGCGGCTGTCCTCCTAACCCTGGCCTGGTGTGGGGCTCCAAGCAGGTGTGGACACAGGCTCCTGCCTAAGAGGAGGAGCTGCCCCCACCACATGCCCAGAAGAGCCGGCAGGGGATTTCAGCTCAGGTGCCCCGGAGTCAGTGAGGATTAGCCACTCATACGCCCAGGGATAGAGGACACCCTTGTTGATTCATGTGACTGGCCACTGGCTAATGGTGTCCGGTTACTTCACTCGGTGAACTCTGTCAGGCCCCCTCTGACACTTTTGGTCTTTGCCCCTCCAGAGCTCTCCGGGGAGGGACCTTGCCATCCCTGTTCCGATTTGACTGTTTTCCAACCTCCAAAACAATCTGTCTGGCAGTCTGATTACATAATTTGTTCCAAGCATTGCTCCTTGTTTTTCTGTTTCTCCAAAAGTTACCCCAAGTCAATGCTGCCTAACGGGGCTGGTGGCTAAGGCTGACTTGGGCTTTTGGCCATGAAAATTATGCTTTTCTGGATGGCTCCAAGAGTTTTTAGAGTTTCCAGAGAAAGGAGGGCAATGGGAAGGGAACTGTCCCCCAGACGCAGAGGCTAGAAGCTTGATCTCAGTCCCTGCTCTAGCCTGGCTTCCTTGGAACTCCTGGGTGACCCCCCCACCAGCCTCTCAGGGATCCAGTGCTTCCCTCTGTACCCCCTAAGTCTGCTGGGAGCCTGGAGCCTCCACCCCTGAGCCCCGGGGACACCTGGCGATGGAGCGGAAGGCACAGGGCCCGGGCCGGGGTCTCACCAGCTCTGCACCAGCTGCACGGAAGGCGTACTCAGTACCCGGTCAGGAAGCAAGTTGATCTCCTTCATGATGTTAGCCAGGCGCACGGGCAGCTCCTGCCTGAGGAAGGTGAACGAGGTCTTCTCGCAGGCATTGCTGGACCCTGGGGAGGGAGAGGGGTGAGCTCACGGAGCCATAGTCCAGGGAAGCCAGTGGAGTCTCCAGGGTCAGGTCAGCTAAACCTTCATGGACTGGGGGTACTGGGAAAGGGACCCACCCACACCGCAAGGCGCCTCCTCCCCTGCAGTGCTCAAACGCCCCCCAGCCCCCGCACCAGCCTGCCAGATATTCAGGGGTGACATCTTCTCTCCATTTCCAGTTGAACCCCGCTTGCCTTTAGCCACAGGGGGCAGTGCCACTCCTGAGCCCACCTGGAGTCACCTCTGGTCTAAATCACCTCACTTCTCTTCCCTCCCAGCAGACACTTGCTTTGGGGGGTTGATGGCAGGGGGCGAGGAGCCTAGGAAATCCATTTTTACTCAGGAGCCAGACCTAGACCACCTCAGCCGCAGGGGTCCAGTGTGTCGCTGGTCCAGCCCACCTCACCCAGGCTAGTCTGAACACCCACTGTGGAGCTGCCCTTGTATTAATGCCTGTCTGTGAGGCAAACTGGGCACCAGGATGAGAGTCCAAATGCCTTGGGCCTTGGTCTGGCTTCAAGATGAAGACAGGTGGAGGAAGGATGAGGCTGCGGCCCACAGGCAGGAGACCTGGGTTCTAGACTAGGTTCTGTTTCCCACTCTGTCACCCAGCGCATGTCACCATCCTTCTGAAGGTTTTGTTTCCCCCATCGTACAAGTTGACCTGACTCTAACTACGAGTTCCTCACAGCTGGGACGCTTCTGTAGTTAGGAGCCATTTCGGGGGGATAGCTGCTGGGGGCTGGGACTGGGTAAAGGAGGCTTTTCTACATGGGAGAAGCTCAAGGCTCAAGGAGGGCAGGGGCACAGGCAGACAAGTCCTGGAACAGGTGCCCTATGTCTCTGCTGCCACCTCCCTGCCATTGTCCCATCAGTGACGCAGCTGCAACCCAAGCCAGGCACTACCAACTCAACTTCTTGAGAGACTAGCCCCGGCCCCCAACCCTCAGCTGGCACCTTGGAAATGCTGTGTAGACAGACTGGGCCCACACGATGCCTGTTTCAGGGGCCACGTTGGCACAGCCTCTCTCCTTCCCCACAGCCACCCCCAGAATCCTGGTGGTGGGTGATCCCGATCTAGGAGCCCGGGGGGACAGCCAAGGAAGGGCACAGCCACCTGACTCCACCTCATGGTGCCTGGGGCCCCTGCCCAGCTGGTGACAGGCTGCCAGACAGAAAAGATTTGATCTTCAAGCGTCCTTGCCCACTGGGGCAGCTGGGGTCCCGCCCGTTCCGTGGGTAGAGGTCCACTAGTCTCTTCTGTTGACACCCTACTCCGAGGGACCTTCCCCAGCTGTACCCCCCTTGCTTTCCCTCACTCTCGGCCCCAGGAGTGTCTGACCCTTCGTGGGGAGTCTCCTTCTCTGCCTCCCAACCTTGCTTACTGCTCCTGCTAGCATGTCCCTCTGTCCCCTCTTCTCGGTGTCATCGGGACACCTCCCATCGACTCGTGAGTGCCTGGACACCGCCAGCTCCTAGCATCGCAGCCTCGCAGTCCCTTCCTCTCCAAGACCCTCGCCGAGCCCGGGAAGGAACCCCGGGGCCCCTTTCCCCGAGAACGTACCGTCCAGAGCCCCGGAGGGCCCAGCCTCCCCGTTAACCCCTTCCCGCCTGTCCCCTTCCAGGCCAACCCCCCCACCGCCCGGCATTCGGGGCCTCTCCTCCCCTGCGTGCCCCCCAGTGCTCCGGGTGCCCCCTCCGCACCCTCGGGGGCCGCCGCGGCCAGCCGCCCCCCCGCCCACGCCTCACCGAAGTCCAGAAACTGCTTCATGGACA